TGTAAATGCTGGAAATGGATCAGGAGGGTTCTTCACATGGGATGTATTAGACAAGCTTGGAGCAGATACCTTTGGCTCTCTCCACCTCAATCCGGATGGGATGTTTCCCAACCATATTCCCAATCCGGAGGACAAAACTGCAATGGCCTTAACAAGAACGGCAGTGCTAGAAAACAATGCCGATCTTGGAATTGTTTTTGACACAGATGTTGATCGAAGTGGTGTAGTTGATAGCGCAGGAAATCCCATAAATGGTGATAAACTTATTGCCCTTATGGCTACAATAATCTTGAAGGAACACCCAGGTACCACTATTGTAACTGATGCGCGTACAAGCATGGCACTCACTAGGTTTATAAAAGATAGAGGCGGACAGCATTGCCTGTATCGAGTTGGCTATAGGAATGTGATTGACAAGGGTGTCCAGCTTAATAAGGATGGAATTGAAACACATCTTATGATGGAAATCTCTGGTCATGGTGCCCTCAAAGAAAACCATTTTCTTGATGATGGTAAGGTTTTTCTGCCCCTTTCTGCTTTATTTTTTTGCAAGAATCTGTGGCTAGATCTACTCAAAATTCTATGTATCCAGATCCTCAACAACTACAATATATGGTAGCTAGTTTTGTTTACTCTTCCTTCCTCTAACCTATTATACTGAGATCGTGTCACTCTTATGAATGCTTTTTACATTTGTCAAAACAAGTCTCAACTGGCTACGTTGTTTGAGAATGGATTATAATCATTTTAAATTATGAATAGGTAAAAATAATTGGTGGATAAGTAAGTAGCACGTTTGGATCCTATGGAATGTGAATAAAAATTATGCTTGACTAATTATATTAAATTAAATAGGTGCCAAACAAGAGAATCGTCGTTAGCTCCATCTTTGAGTATATGAACTCATTTCTTATCTTATCCATTTTTGTCTACCACCCACGAATCCATCTTACTACCATCGTGTCCAATACATTTATCTTTTGCATATTTTATCCTTCAACTTATCAATGCTTTTTGCTATAAAGCATAACAGGTCCAAGAAAATGGTTATTTCACACTCTCTTTTATGTACTATTTGAGTAGTTTTTACTATTCTTTTTTCTAGATCTGGCCCCGACTTGTGTCTATAAAATCTACAGGTGCTTACATGGTAGTAAAAGTTATAATTGAAATGGTAAGGATGAAGCTAGAGGGATCAGATAATGAAGGAATTAGCAGTCTTATAAAAGATCTCGAAGAGCCACTAGAATCTGTAGAGCTAAGAATGAATATCCTCGCCGAGCCTAGATATGCAAAGGCCAAAGGTGTGGAAGCGATTGAGACGTTCAAAGATTACATTGAGGTACATATATAGTTCAACAGATCTGATCTCTTGCTCCTGTGAGGTTTGGATAAAAACTTCCCACATAAGTAAGGTTTTTGGTCACATCAGTAGTGAGAAGTTTTTGTTCTTTCACGTAATTCAATTCAATCATAATAGGTTGACAGTCGAGATTGATATTTACTTGTGGTTCATTACTTCAAGTGCCCATTTATCTAACATTGTTCCTTTAATTGCCAAGTTCATTTACATATATTTCCCAGCTAATAAAATATTGGAAACTTTTACCTGTAGCAAGGAAGAATACCAGGGTGGGAATTAGATTCCTGCGGAGATTGCTGGGTAAGCGAAGGCTGCCTTGTGGACTACAACGACGCTCCAGCCGCCATTGATGCCCATATGTACAGGTATCATATAATTATAATTGATAGTTTTCCTCCAAATTGGGACAATGAAATGGTTACAGAATAATAATTAAACATGGAAGTGAATAGGCCTAGTTAAGGTACGTTGGGAAAGCAAAACTTTCTACTAACCCACCACGGTCTCTCTCTCTCTTTCTCGGAACCCTATATAGACAAGAATTTGGACTTCAAACGAGGGTCAATAGTCAACTTATTTAGTATCGTTAAGATATAGATTCTCATGTGATGATCGTCAAGTGTATGTGTAAATATTCAGTTCTCTATTCTCTTGCACAATTTTCTAAAGAAGCCTTATGTGAATGAAGCAATCTGAGTACTGCACATGTTAAATGCGGAAGGGATTGATTAGAACCAACATAATCTGTCGCGTTGCTAAAATTGTAGTTGCTTTAGTTCTTCCACTAGATTTTATTTATTAATTAATTAAGCTGAGTTTAGAAAATGATTTCTGCAGTCAACCCTTTATTGAGAATTAGGCTCAATTCATTTTGGATATAAATCCAGGGCTAAAGTTACAGAGGGTGAACATGGACAACATGGTTGGATACACCTCCGGCAGAGTATTCATAACCCAAATATAGCAGTCAATTTGCAGTCCACAACTCCAGGAGGCTGTCAATCCATGACAATATCTCTAAGAGATAAGTACGTATTTACACTTGACAGAGAAACACCCTAATTCTCAATGTTGAAATTCTCTTGGTATAATTGTTTATTTATCCGTTGCCAGGTTTCTACAAGCCAGTGGGATGGATAAAATTCTTGACATATCTCAGATTGACAAGTTTGCCAGGAACGGGAATATATAATCTAAGATAAAACCTTGAAGGCATGTTAATTGACCGTGAAGGCATGTCAATTGAGTGAGGTAAACTGAATAATATTGGAAAGTATTAAAGAAGGTGAAACGTGTCGAGAAAACAAATAGAAGTTGATTTCTATTGAACCTAAAATTATTTTGTATCGAGAATTGTGTACAGCTGAGTATATAAGCACGCGTGTACACAAAGTCGATGAAATGCTACAATTATGTGCATTTTTTTTAATACTAGCTTATTTTTAGCAAGATCATCTGTCGATTTGGTTCACATTGATTAACTATCTCTTCACCCAAAAATGTGCAAGTTTATATTCATAATTTTACAAATTCAAATGATCCACAGATAACATCAGCTTTGTATGCTTGAATATTTTGGTTTCTGATTAAATAAGAAACGCATTTTGATAAAATAATAATAATAATAATAAATAAATAAATAAATAAATAAATTGTGTTGCTGTAAAACAATGTAATTTATTTTTTAAGCTTAACCAAATATTTAAACTTTCGTGACTAAAATCTCCACTACTCAAAGTTCTGAATATGATACCTTTGGTCTTTAGGGGAATGGAGAGAAGACATGTTATCAATCTTCGTAAAATTGGCCTTAATTGTGGAACTGAGATAGGGTGGATTGATGCACATGATAATTTTGAGTTCACTAATTGATTTAAAAAAAAAAAAAAAAAAAAACTCGGTTGCCCACCCTTCGTCCTCTGAATCTGCATCATCTCGTAGCTACAGTCACTGGATTTGAATGTGAGGCTATCGACTAGATAATAAGAACAATAGATATAATATTTTCCAAAATAATAATAATAAAATATAATAATAATAATAATAATAATAATAATAATAATAATAATAATAATAATAATAATAATAATAAACAAATCAGTTTTCATTTAACAAGCTCAGATGCTCAATTTTCCTTCATTTATTAATTAAAAAAAAAAGTCTAAAACTTTTATGGGGAATAAAAACCACTTGTTCAAAATTTTTGAGGGGAATTGTGACATTTACGCCAAGAAATAAAATTTGAAAAACTCTGGTAAAAATGTAATTAGAAAAATAATATTGTATGCATCAAAAGTCTCATTCGCTGTTACTTTTTCATTTAAGAGCCACATATTCTCCTTATACTAGACACAAGATTCTATCGTTCATCGTGAATGATTCGGTTTTAGTATACCATCCCTAATCATATTAAAGGTCATAAATTTTAATTTAGGGAAAAGTAGAAAGTATACGGCCTAACTTTCACAACTTGTAACCCGTCGATGCTATCACTATTCTAAAAGGTCTGCCTATCAAAACACTATGTATGAATGGTACAAACTATTCAAACAAGAATTCTTGGACAGTGAACAACCAATTCAGATATTCACAATTAAAAAGTTCTGAATTCTCATTCTGATAGGTCATGAAGGGAGAAGGAAGCCTAGAATGCCAACAAAAGTCTATTGTATAATATTGAATTCATTCGACCCGATAATACCAACTTCGATAACGTCCAGTGCCAAAGTTATTGAATGGAAGTCGCCAATCCTTGGACTATGGAATCTGTTAGGGTATGGACGAGCATTTTATTAGAGGTTTCTAATCTACCATTATGTGATTCTTGTTGAAGCATATGCTCCAGGGATGGTGCAAGGCGGAAGATTTTAAAGCAACTCCCCATTCACTAAATAGAGAAAATCACCAAGATTTCGTGATCGAGGCTCAGATGAAATGCCATGTTTTGGCAATGAGCGTCTAGCGGTACTTTATTTTTTTTCCTTTTTTAAAAGACTTATATTCGACTTTAGTTTCAAATTTTTAAATGACTTATTTGTACAAAAGTAAAAAATGAAAACATTTTAGAAAATTTCAAGTAGGGCTTGTCTAATTAAAATTTGAAATTATGAAACAGTCTTTTTCTTGCGTTTTGAAAATTTGAAAAATTGTATAATTGACTAATTTTAGAAATTATTAGGTAAATATAGTATTTTATAATTTTAGATGTTTGGTATATTTTATTTTAATTATTAAATGATTTTTAAAATGATTAAAATTTAAAATAATATTAAAAATAGAAAACACTTCTTTACACCTAGATCTCACTTAAGTTCGCCTATATTCTTAAAGATCGAAACTTGACCTCCGTACATAACTATGCTTTACGTTTTTTAGAACATTGTTATCATAAACTAATGGAATACCATTATGTTGCTTTGACAAATATTTTTTAGACTAGCACATTGAAAATAAATTACTCGATACTATTTAGACAAAATAATTCTGACTGTATAAGCCACTATTTCACAGGGCCTGCTAGAGAATGTGAGTGGCCCTGTGAAACAGTAGCGTGTACAGCCAACTCGGTTAATTTGGACTTGCTCTATATATTAATATAAACGTCCAACATTGGAAATCGGATTCAAAAATCTCCATATACATATCAACACAGAATGTAAATATTTTATTCTTATTATTACTATATTTCACATTAATACATCTAATAACACAACAGCGAAAGCAAGCAGTTACAGAATTTCTTAGAAGCGAACTTTACCAAGTCCATAATTTATTCACACACATTATTTATAGTAATCCAAAGCAAAGGCGCCATCTCTTGAAAATTTATAAAGCTTTTTAATTGAGCTGAGCAAGATTGTGAGTCTCAATATCTTTAGTAAGAGCAAGGCACAAGGCCATCATTGTGTTGGGATCTGGGACATTCTCGTTCTTCTTCTCGTACTCTAAGGTCCATGTTATCAAGCTGCGGTCTCCATTGGAGTCGACAATAATAATGTATTTGAAGGTCTTGTATAACTCTGCAAGATCTCCTTCGATCACCTTGTAGGTCACTGTCTTTCTTTCGTCGTCTATAGCTTCAATCATTTCTTTGGATACCCTCTCATTTCCATCTGGGATTCACAATCGAAACTGCTTATATGAACCCTAAATATATAGAACTCCTAATACTTTGAGACAACTAAAATTAAAACGATTTAGTTTGATCAGCAAAAGGCAGTTAAACCTAGGAATTCTGAATAGTTCATTGAACAACCAGTACGTACAGTAAGAGCTCAAATTGACAAGTTGAGAGTTATTAAAGAAATATTCTGCTCATCTTAATAATGGTAGAAAGAATCTATTTTTTGTTTCTAAAAACAATTGAGAAAC